TCGGTACCATGATGCTGTGTATGACACATGTTATTTCATTTTATTATGGAAAAAAGATCGGTACCATGATGCTGTAAATGACACATGTGACAATACTTCACTAGTGAAATGTCTGCAAACGTTTGCAACAGAGCTCGATGCCATCATGTGCTTGATGTCAAAAACAGAACAGTTTGAGCTCAGGACCATAAAATGTCATATAGAGACACTCTTCAAAAGCTTCTGTGTGTAAAAGCCTCTGTGTATGAAAGTGTGTGTGTGTGTAAAAGCATCTGCGTGTAAAAGCGTCTGTGTGTAAAAGCGTCTGTGTGTAAAAGGGTCTGTGTGTAAAAGTCTCTGTGTGTAAAAGTCTCTGTGTGTAAAAGCGTCTGTGAAAGTGTTTGTGTGTAAAAGCATCTGCGTGTAAAAGCGCCTGTGTGTAAAAGCGTCTGCGTGTAAAAGTGTCTGTGTGTAAAAGCGTCTGTGTGTAAAAGTCTCTGTGTGTAAAAGCGTCTGTGAAAGTGTTTGTGTGTAAAAGCGTCTGTGTGTAAAGGAGTCTGTGTGTAAAAGCTTCTGTGTGTAAAAGCGTCTGTGTGTAAAAGCCTCTGTGTAAAAGCCTCTGTGTGTGCACTGTGAAAGTGTTTGTGTGTAAAAGCTTCTGTGTGTAACAGCTTCTGTGTGTGAAAGTGTGTGTGTGTAAAAGAAAAGCGTGTGTGTGTGTAAAAGCTTCTGTGGGTAGAAGTGTCTGTGTGTAAAAGGGTCTGTGTGTAAAAGCGTCTGTGTGTAAAAACCGTCTGTGTGTAAAAGCTTCTGTGTGTAAAAGCGTCTGTGTGTAAAAGCGTTTGTGTGTGAAAGTGTGTGTGTCTAAAAACATCTACGTGTAAAAGCGTCTGTGTGTAAAAGCCTATGTGCGTAAAAGTTTCTAGTGTCTGTGCGTAAAGGCGTCTGTGTGTAAAAGCCTATGTGTGTAAAAGTGTCTAGTGTCTGCGTGTAAAACCTTCTGTGTGTAAAAGCTTCTGTGTGTAAAAGCGTCTGTGTGTAAACGCTTCTGTGTGTAAAAGCGTATGTGTGTAAATGCGTCTGTGTGTAACAGCTTCTGTGCAAAAGCGGCTGTGTGCTGTGTGTGAAAAACAATACGAAGGATAGGATGCAAACTAGTGTTTTGTACTTGTAATATATTGTCTTGATACTACTTGTCTCGCCTGCCTAAAATACATCTTTACTATATTGTCTTGCAATATAGTGTCTCAATACTAACAACAGAAGACCCTGCTCTCTCTCTCTCTCTCCCTCTTTCTCTCTCTCTCTCTGTCTCTCTCTCTCTCTCTCTCTCTCCCCCTTTCTCTCTATCTATGTCTCTCTGTGGTTGCAAGACACGTGTCATATGATGCCCTTTACCAAGCAGCACAGTGCATATGCATGGGTTGTCACATGTATCCTCTTCTTAATCAATCTTACTTTCCACAACTTACCCCTCCATAGCTCATATAAAATTCACCAACCATTCACCGACTATTTTTTACGACTACCATACTCAGAGCTGCTTGAAAAACGTCTTTTTCGCTCTCGGGCCAACCGTCGTCTAGTTTGCCTCTGGTAGCAAAAAGCACGGTATTTACAGTGTTTTTTGGCCAGCACCTAGCAAAAGCACTGGTATTTACGGAGGTGTCACCATGTAACAAAATGTGGTTTCTTGATCCGAAAAGAACAAGAATACTGTAAATTACAATGTTTTGAGTCTGCTCTTAGGGTGCGCGGGAGGCGTGGAGGGGGGGGGAGAGGGGGGACTGAAATGACTAGCAATCTCCTGAATAATCAGGTAACGCGGCTGGCCGCCCTCCCCTTTACTTCGTAAAGCAAAACTCAAGGTAGCCCCACTGGAGCTACCTTTCGTGACTTTGCTGACTTCGCACTCAAAACACCCGAAGAAACGCACAATGGTCTGCACAGCAAACAGAAGTGGTGTGTTCAAAATGATTTCGAATACTTCACAGCAGCCAAAATCACTACAAATTCATGACCATTTTCATGGAGTCCATGTCCATTCAGCGACTGGTAAGCGCGAAACGAAATAACTTCAGGCGCAAAGTACTCAGGGGTGCCACACCTAAACGTCCGTTGAAATGGAGACACCAAAACACAAGTAGAGACTCAATTCTCGATGGATCTCATGGGAAATTACAAATTGAACAAATTGAACAAATTGAACAAATTGTAAATTTCAAAGCTCAGGACGTGGTGTATGTCTTTCCAATGATCAGCTTGGCCAGACCCAAATCGGTGACTTTCATATGCCTGGGTTTGGTTCCCAAGAACCGCAAGACATGGAAGCATCACAATGCACAAATAATATGTAAAAGCTAGAAATAATACAGTTTCCTTCAAATGAGGCTTTGTTCTGGCATTGCTTATGCTGCACAGCCATGGCACCCGTTTTGATCCAAAACCACGTTCTCGGGCTTCAAGTCCTAACACGGCTCATGACACTGCAGGCCTCCCGGCTTCCCGGCCTCCCGTCTTCCCAGCTTCCCTGTCCGCAGTTCCCGTCCCCACCAGTCCCGGTACACAATCCGACGCTCGTGCATGTGTTCCAAGGCCTGTCGTATGACGCAAGGCGGAGAATCTGGAATTCTTGGAAAGAGTCAAAGGGACACATAGTTCACCTTCAAGATGATTTGGGGAATGTCAAATTCTTGAAATGTAAATAATGACGTCAAGATTCAATCCCTGTCCAGAAATTCAAGTGGATCTTCGCAAACTGCATTATTCTTGGCTGAGGATAGAGCCAAAGCAGCACCAGCCTTATCTGCAAGTGTCTGCAAGGCATGGAAATGCAAGGTTTCACGGAAAAGTTGCACCATGAGCTCGTCACTGCATAGTAGCGACTGTGTGGTACAGAGCCCCAAAATCCTTTCCTCGCAGAAAGGGTTCAATGAACATTGTCATGGAAAGGATTGCAAAGCTGCAGAAGTCATCTGGAAATAGACATATGCTGTAATGAAGTTATATTGCATAGATCATTGTATAGTCTATGACTATTATATATATATTATATCATTTTGATATACAATACACTAGAGCTCTATTCATAATTGTCGATATATACATATATAATATATAGCAGATTACTTTTTGTCATACCACATATCATGTTAGACCATGTACTCTCAGCATTGCCATTGCGCAAGCTTGGAGCGTATCGCAGAGTGTTCGAGTCCTGGAGAAGATGGACAAGAGCTCTCCTCCTGAAAAAAAGTCAGATCTGCCGGACAATGTCTATCAATGTCTCATAGTCATTGCCGGGAAAAACTACGCAGAGACTGAGATGACTAAAGCATCTTAAAACATATTAAAGTTATTTGAATGCAAAACTCACCCGGTACCCGCACAAACGAAGACACCGGACTGTTTTACTTGAGCCAAAAGTAACATATTGAACCATGTGAAACCACAGGTCAAGCAGTGGGTAAAAGCATGACCCTTAAGTTTCCTAGTCCTGCAACGCCTGAGAAATGTTATGTACCAGAAGTGTATGTCCCATTCAACTCCCCCCTCATTTTGAGTGGCGAGCAGTCGATCCCAAGGCATCGGTTGAATTACCTTTATTAGTGCATCTGCTGATTGGTCTTCAGAGTTCACATGTTCTGGTTGCATGTGTCGCTCATTCATGAGCTCGGCAAGGCTAGCCAAATCAATGCGATGAGTGCGTGATGCATGTCGTAACTTAACGGAATACCCTGAGTGTAGGATGGACAAGGTTGCGGCGTTGTCCTCTTTGAGCCGCATTGTGATTTGACGGCCAAGGAGCTGCCCGAGCAAATCAAGCAAAGGCTATCCTTCGGAAAACACTGCTCCAGCCATTGAAATTATTTCTGCCTCTGTTGTCGAACGAGCGACTGACGTTTGGCGTCGCGAGTTCCATGCGATCGGCCAACGCGAAGCTTCAGAAGAGAGAAAAATCATCATGCCGGACGTTGATCGCGCAGTATGCACGCATGATGCGAGGTCAGCATCTGCATATACATGTAGCTCTGTGTCACTAAGTGTGCCAGCTTGACATATCATTTTATACTCCCTAGTCCAGTGCACGTATGCCACAAGGCGGTGGAGATGAACGTCTTCTGCTCGGCTCCATACTGTGATCCTGCTCGCCAGCCTGCCTACTGAAAAACTAATGTCTGGTCGACAAAGTCTTGCCAACCAGAGACCCTTCATCGGCACCTTTGATGCATGTGGTTTCATGGATCCTGGTAGTTCGTACAAAGCGTCAGCTAGCGTGCTATCATTGATGTGAGGAGTAGGAACCTTACGCAATGATTTCGGATCAACACCAGTGATTTCGAGATATAGCTGCACGAATTGATCAGCATATCCAACCATGGACATAGCTATGGTTTGTGGGGTTTCAAGTTCATGCAAGCGAAATAAAATGAGCACTGCATTGTTTGGAAACAAGGTTTGCGGATCCTCGATCTTGATGAGTTCAGAAAACCGCTGCCAAAACTTGGTATGCAGATGCGAAGCTCCTGATAGTGTCAGGTCATCGACATAAATGTTGAGAAGCATTCTGTGGCCATCAAGGTTAAACAGAAAGTTGCTAGGGAACCCCTGGATTTGTTGAGCTCCAATTCTGGAGATCCGGGTCTCCAAAAATTCTTGCCATAAGCGGCCAGCCTGCGGATGTCCGTATAAGGACTTTAGATGCCTCACGGCAACTTTGCCATTGAATTTGGATTTCACTGGCTAAGCCACAATTGTCGTGGCAAAATAACGAACGTGAGCTCATCTTCAGGAAGATAGCTCTGCAAGAATGCTTGCACTGCGTCTGCAGTTGATGTAGCATGCCCTTCAAGGGTGCCCCACCATAGACAAACATTCAGGGCTATCAGTGTAGTCGGTGACGTGGACACTTCAGTGAAGAGAACGATGTCCCCATTCTGTGTAAACACTTTGTCACCTCTGTATACTATTCTTCCTTTATATCTATGTTTGGATTGATCAAGTTCAGCGTGCTTGATACCGCACAAAACCAAAAGTTCTGCAATGCGAAAATTCTGACCTAAGGCTTTTGATTGATATATCAACTGATCAAGATCACAAACCGTCGAATCATCCCATGTCTTGTTCGAGCGTAGTCCTTGGCACTCTTTCTCGATGGCTGCCAAAGCACGTGGGTCTGTGCTCCACTGGCTACGATTGAGTGCCTTGGTAACTAAACCAAATGCCTGTGCATCAGTTCCAAGCTCATCACAGTGATCCTGTTCCTGGGCTGGTTGACAACCTAGAGCTGGGATATGTTACGAAGAGAACTGCTTGGGAAATAAGGCTTCAGTTCACAAACGGGATGGTGTAAACAAAGTTTTAGCAGCATTGCCTCCCTCGCATGGCTCATGTTGCTCTGCTGTGTGGTTGGTTGCACTGCATATCCGCAAACAACTCAACGATTCTACGATCATTGGTGGCCAACATCCATGGTTTCTTCATTAACTTGTTTCGTTTGCCCTTCAGCTGGAGCATACACCCATGAAACTGCACCATCAAGAGCTGGTGCCGCCTGCAAAATTCGACGAGGTTTGGAAGTCGCCATCCTTTGCAGTAGGTCGGCCATTCCCAGTCGAAGCGACCATTGTGACTGATCACATATTCCCCAACCTGTAAAGCTAAGTCCACCATGTATGAGGAGTCCTCCTGTTTTTGGGTGAGGTCATTCAGAAAGGATTCCCCAAGGCGGTGAATGTTGAGTTCTTGCAGGTTGGACCACGGGTCGCAAGGAAGTGAAATCCAAATGTCTGCGCCATGATGGGACTTCAACTGCGCGACAAGTTGAAGAACATGTTGGAAATTGCTAAGGTCTATGACATCCTTGCTCAACCGAACAACTTTGATATCGTATTGCTTCGTATTGTGGTATTATGTCCCCAATCAAAGAATCCCCACTGCAAGCATATTCATACAACACCCCAATCCCAGGGAGGTCAGTTGAAAGGCGTCTGATTCGGGATAGGCCTCCCCACACCTCGTGTGATTGCGAAGCGGCAATCATACCTTCGATTGGTGGGGCCTCCTCATCTGCCAAGATGCTATGCTCGTACCCTGGCGACGGTGCTGCTTCGTCAGTATCTGGCGGCGGACATTCAGGAACAAGGTCATCTTCAAGCCTGGGTTCTGCCAAGTCGCGTAAAGTGAACGTTGGCGACCCAGACCCTTGACCATCGCGAATATCATCTGCAGATGCAGGCCGAGGCTTTGCCTCAACTGGTACTGGCTTGTCTGCACGGATGAGGCGATTGAACCTATCCCTACATGCCTTGGAATGCCTCGAGGTGAGCATCTCACAACCTCTGCAGTCATCAGTGCCACCGTACTTGATGAGACGATCCAATGTGATGTACTCAGCGCGGGTCTTGGCTGGAAGCTCGATGGGTTCATCGCTGAAGGGAATGCTGATGGGTGGAATCTTTGATGGATCTTCTGTGTTGAACGTAGCAAGCGATTCTCTGTGAGCAACTTTCAGTGGCAAAGTTAAATGATCATCAAAGGCTACCTCTTCTTGTGGTACCGCAATCAGATTTTCAAAACCTTTGGCATGAGTGCGAACTTTCTCATAATCTAAAATCAACACAACCCCCCTGTAACGACATCCATTCTCAAGACGCCATCCTGCAAAGATCCCCGGAACACAAGAACCAGAAAACTTGTGGAGCTTTGTGCGATCACTGACCCTGTAAAAAACCAACGGACCCAACAACCAATGTGGCCCATCAAATCTTTGACCTGCAGCTGCCTCAAGGCGCGTCAAGTGTCTTTCCCCTTCGGGCGGTTCAACATCGGGCTCATTCCATCCTAATGCAAGCGAGACTGCGCAGTATTGCACGGTGATTGGCCACAAGGATGGATACGCAGCAAAGCCAGAAGACACGTGAGTCGCTCTCACTGACTCCTGAAAAGTTCGAATGTCCCGTTCTAGCCGTGAGTTATGCGGCCAATACCTCTCGAGTGTTGGCTCATAGTATGCTCCAAGCTGTTCGGCTGCATACTGAAACTCTTTGGCTGCATCTGCTTTACAAACAAGAGTGTTGGATGAAACATGCGGTCCAAGAAACTTCTTGATGTGAGAAACGATGAGATCCCCGTCACGTGAAAACATGGGAATGCCCTGGAGAAAACCTGACCATTCATCGCGAATCATGAGAACATAGTGATCAGTTTTTGGATTCAGCAGTCTTACAAACAACAATAAAGTCTACAGCAATCCTTTCCCCGAAAGCTTTCACAGGATCAAGGCCCCGATCGAGAAGTTCGTACTCTCGTTTCTTGGAAACGCGTTTGTAGCACTTAGCTATTTTACAATCCAAACATTGACTGCTCTTTGGAAAATGGGCCAGCCGATGCTCAATAGATTGCGCGCGCTTTATTTCAGCTGTGATCCACTCTACCCCGCCTTCAGAGTCTGCATCTGATGCCGGCGCCTCAATTTTGGAGCCCTCCTTCGCCCCCGATTTGGAGCCCTCATCCGGCTCGAATGATGGGACTACTGAGTCGGGCGTGTCCGTTTTGGAGCCTTTGGCTTCGCCCGGCATCCCAGGAACAATCTTGATGTTTTCCCGGAAAATTGGCACATTTTCTTCAGCACGGTGAGCCACTATGCGGTCCTCATGGGAGCATGCTATCTGAAGAAGATCGATCAACGCTATTCACGAAGAATGGCAGTTCACCGGGCAGCCAAATAAATGGTCGATTTTGTTGGTTGACTATTTCCCCGAGACTACGAACCAATGGACAACCCTTTGGGAGAAGATATGCATTGGTATGACCAAATACATCACCCTCATATCCAATGGTCTGGTCCCCTCTTCTTGCACCTCCACCTGTGCCGAAATCAATGGGAAACTCCGTGGTAGTGGCGTTGTCTTTGATCAACCCACTGGGAATTCCACCCGCCTCAAGTGACGAAACACTTCCCAAACTCCTACCGGCATCTGAGTCTGCAATCCAATCAACACAAAACGACGACGATGCTGTGTTCTTTGAAATCTGGGTGCGCGCCACACTGGAATGCAACACTGGCACTACGCATGCAAAGATGTGAGCGGAATACCGCAGTGGCGCTGTGCATGCGCGCACGACTGCAGTCATGATCGACTCAGATAAAACGGATGCAGAAGGAAATGATGCAAAAGCAACAGCTGCTGCAGTCTTGGCCTTTGGCGCTGCAGTGGCCTTTGTTTGGGCCTTGCCCTTTTGT